TCACAGCACATTTCGTATTTCAGAAGGCGGGCCTTCATTTGATACAGGAACTATTCGAGCCGTTCATGCCAGACTGGGGAGAGAGGTGTTGTAATAATGTAAAATATGTGAAAAATAATGTGTTTTTCGAACAACCTAGTATGAGAGTCTTTTCTAGTACACTCCCAAAACAAAATCAAGACTTTGTAAAAGAGCATAATAGGACCCCTTTAAGTATCAGTTATATATGTCAGTGTTTGGTTTGTTTTTTGGGGTATTATAAGGGCCTTGAGGTCTCTGTTTTAAATACAATTTTTTAAGACTTTTTTAACCTTGCTGGGGTTTTTGCTTGTGTATAGAGAGCCTTTAGTATATAGTCTATTTGCTGACATCACATGCATAATTACAGTTTTATTTTTTTACACGCTATTTGTACTCTGCAGTTCAAGAACAGTTCAGTCTGAAATCAAAAATAAACAAAATAAACACTTGCAAATCAGGCAGGGTCACCTGGGTGTGAAAGCTTACCAGTGGAACAATGGATAATTTGGATAATTTTATTCACAGGAACTAAATGCTGTCTGTCTTTGTTAATGCCTCTTCAGACGTTCCTCAAGCTCACCAGCTAACTAATCTGAAGTGAAGATGACAGAAAACACAGTGCCTAGTCATAAATCATAAAAATTCACACAATAAAGTAAGGTTTGAACAACCAGGTTGAGCGTTTCCACCCCTTGAGACATATTTTGGAAGAGTTTAAAGCTGTGTACTAAATAAATAACATGAAACTGCATTCATTTACCTCTCTTGCTCTAGAGAGGTTTCAGTAGACAAATCATAAAATGTGTCATAACGTATCTGCTGGATATTTGGCAACAGAATGCATTTTGTAATGGCTGGTGGTGCCAGCCTGTAGCCTCAAGAAAGAGCAGGGGGTGGGACAGGAATAGCAGCCCACTGGCCCATTTTACTCTGCCAATCAACAGAAAGCTTCTGGGTAACACTTTACAATAAGGTGCATTAGACATCATGAACAAACTATGAAAAATAGTTTTTACAACATTTAACAGGGTTCATTAGTGTTAAAATGTATTAGTAGGCTATAAATCAAAATATATAATAAATAATATTTAATACTATCTATCTATCTATCTATCTATCTATCTATCTATCTATCTATCATCTATCTTCACAGGATGGACGGATTGAGTTCTCAGAGTTTATTCAGGCCCTGTCTGTGACCTCACGTGGGACCTTGGATGAAAAGCTCCGATGTAAGCAGTGGATAAAGTAGGGCTGTATGGGTGGGACGAACTGGAGTCCTGGCATGAAGAGAAATCCATAGATGGCGAGATGAAAGAGTCACTCGTCTTTGCTGCTGTAATTACTGTGCAATGATTTGGCTCATACAAAGCATGCATTTATCACCCAATCCTGTGTCTATCATTGCTTTCAGTGCTTATAAGCTTTCATGTCAGCACGCTAACATTACTTTTTAATTCAAAAACAAAAGAAATTAAACTCAGTCCAACAATGGTGTTTTTTTTTTTTTTTTTTGAAGGTTTTTCTGTGTTGAATGTAATTTGTTTTGACAGATTAAAAAAACATTAGTGGACACAAATTCCAAATTTTTTATTTTTAAAATTATTATATAGATAATTATATATATTATATTTTACCCACCTTTTTTTCCTGTAAGAGCAGGTGCGGCCATTTGTAAATTTAATGTGTTTGACTTCCGGTGTCATCCACGTCCAGCTATTTTTAGCTGTATAAAACAGCTCATTTTACTGCTTGATATTGCAAACTGGTATTTCTTACCATATTATTTTAATGTATTATCTTAATTATGAACACACTGGTTTGCAGCCCAAACAGTTTTACTATTTACTACACTTTGTTTTTCTTCTTGTTATTTCCCTACAGTGGCTAATGAATTGGAAGTCTCACACATTCACAGAAAACCGTGTTGAAAAATAAGATATCCAGACTCAAGACTTCTGATGATTATTATAAAATCAACATAGATAACTTATTTTATACACATCAAATGTCTCTTATCAGTGTAATTTTACTATTATTTATTATATATTTACTATTATGGTATTTAGTCATATTTTAAATGAATTGTATTTTTTATATTTTCAGTTTTCATTTGTATTTTTATTGCTATTTAATGTAACAATTACATTTTTATTGCTAAAACAATTCAAACTAAAATTAATTGGTTATGTGCTTTGCTGTATTTTTTGATATTCATATTTATCTTTATTTTATTTTTATTTCAGTTTTTATTTTTATTAATTTTAGTTAATTTTAACTTTAGTTAATACAATTTTAAGTAAAAGTTAAGTAAATTTTAGGGTTTTTTATTTTATTTTAGTTAACTAAACTTAAACTTTACTTAAACTTTAAGTAGCTTAAACTTATTTTATTTCAGTTAGTTGCCAAGACAACATTTCTAATTTTTTTGTCTAATATTTATATTTTATTTGACTTCAGCTTTATTTTAATTCCCAAAAACATTTTTTAATAGTTTTAATTTTTGTTTTTGTTAATAACAACACAGTCTGTATTGCTTCTTAAATTGGTGATTTTGACCTGTCTTGACTTTCTCGGCTGTATTTAGCAATTAGAATCATACAACAGTATCTATTACATTTTTCTGAAAGTTAAGCACCTCTTTGCACTGACCATTTGTTTTTTTTTTTACTTTTCAGGCCCTATTTTGTACCCTGTTTACAGAAAGCACCATAATATTTCTGCACACACTCACCATGACTTCTTGTTACACGCTTTAGGGGCCTTCAAGCTTTATGATCTTGATAACGATGGCTATATCACACGTGATGAAATGCTCAATATCGTAGATGCCATCTATCAGATGGTGGTAAGTCACTGTTCATTTCAGCTGTAATTACATTTGGAACATATGGCATTTGTTTAATGAGCAAAATCTCTCAGATGTCTTTAACATCTTTAACGTGTGTTCAAGGGAAACACAGTGGACCTTCCAGAAGAAGAAAACACGCCGGAGAAGAGAGTGGATCGTATTTTTGCCATGATGGATAAGGTACGGGTATGTCCTTTCTTCTCGACCCCAATCACACTGAACCAGTTAATAATCCAAGCCAAAACTGAGTGTTATTATGCAGCGGGCTGTTTATTTAATTTAATTGGTGGAAATCACTTAAGCAGACTAACTGCTTAAAGGAATAGTTTACAAAAAAATGAAAATGTTGTCATCACTTATTCACCCTTATGTCATTCCAAACCTGTATGACATTCATTCTTCTGTGGAACATAAAAGAAGATATTTTAAACAATGTTTCAGTTCCAGTTTTTTCTTTGACTTCCATTTTATGGACAAAAATACAATGGAAGTCAATGGGAACCGAATCTGTTTGGTTATCAACATTCTTCAAAATATTTTCTTGGTTCTGCAGAAGAAAGAAATGCATACAGGTTTGTAATGACATGAGGTTGAGTAAATGATAACAGAATTTTCATTTGTGGGTGGACTATTCCTTAAAGACTAAGGATCCAGGCCTGGCCCTCTCTCCCCAACACTGTCGTCACTCCTCCTTTTATACTTCCGGAGCTCCTCCGTGGGACTCGAGACCGGTGAGTGGCGCAGGTGTCGTGCATTAGCATTTACTCCACCGGCCTCGCTCCGTTCCCACGGCTCTCGGCCCCACGCCTCTCGTCACAGTGCACATCAAAGATCACACAACAGAATTGCGCGCGCTCTCTCTCTCTCTCTCTCTCTCTCCCTACCGTTAAGTACCTTGTGCATTGTTTTACTTACTTGTTTTTGACATATCCGACCGAACTACAAACTTTCCAGTGATGTCTGTGAGAAAGATATATTCACTCGACAAGCTCGCGCATCTGCGCCGCCGCGCGCTCAATCCACTCAGCGTGCTTTGTTTAGCAGCTTGCGCACACCAGCTATACAGGCATTAATACTGAATGTTTAACATTATATTCATTGCATACATATACTTCGTAGTAGACATCCTTAAGTCCTTTCTGCTTTCTGTTGTTCTGTTGTTGGTTTATTTGTTTGAATATGGCGCTTATCACATGCTGTGTGTTGTCGGCGTTTGGTATCAGGGCATTTTAACGAGTACGAGTACAGGAGACCCGTATCGGGCCCGATCGGTATCGGTGCATCCCTAGTTGAAAGTGTCATACATTCGCGTATAACCACAAACAAACTTAAAATAACACATGTAGTTGTTTTTACTCAGCATTTGAGACAGTTGTGCTTCTAAACAATGTTTGTTTGTTTACCCAGAATGCTGATGGGAAGCTGACCCTGCAGGAGTTCCAGGAGGGATCAAAGGCAGATCCCTCTATTGTACAAGCTCTCTCACTCTACGATGGCCTTGTATAGTAGCAGTATTTTGTCTTAAAGATACAGGTATGTTGTGCTGAATAGAAGTGCATCCTGCATTCAGGTTATATATCAGTTTCATGACATCCTGTCTACATCCAATGTTATACATGTTATAATTGATTTTAGTGTACTTTTATATTCATAATCATTGGCATACACTGATAACAGCGTAAAGATAGGTCCTACACTCCCTTAGTGTAGCAGAAAACAGGGCATTTGATGTTAGTTAGTTAGTTATTTTAGGAGTGCCAAGAAAAGGATATAGAAAGAGAAATACAACGAAATGGGTGATTATTTAGATTTAGGATGTCCATTTTAAGCTTTAGAGTTTTATAGCCTTTACTGTGTGACAGATAACTTCAATTAAGCCAGTAATTGGTGGAATGACACTATTATTGTTATTTCTGTGTTTCTGGCATTAAAATCACATCAAGGTCAGATGTGTATCCATTTGCTGGCCTTATCTTACCTCATGGAAGTCATATAGCCACCTTGTGTACTTAAAAGCCTACAACAGCATTGAGCTAGAGGTGTACATCTTTCAGAATTGAATTGAAAAAGCCTTGTACATAATTCAGTTTCTGATTTTAAACTTGAGTTGAGGTAACAAAAGGTATGCACTATGCACAATTATAATTGAAATTTAAGGAATTAAAATTCAAATGAAAGAAGAATGAAATAAAAATACATTATTTTCCATAATACTGACAACATAGAATTTTTAAATGATTTTATATTAATAATTAAAGTTTGAAATGACAATTTTTGTCAATCTTTTTCTTACTTTTTTCAAGAATGCCATAATTTACATATAAATTTAAACATATACACTTGAGTATTAACGTCATTATTTAATTACATTATTTTATATTTATTAGGACTGATTGGACCTTTATAATGAATAGATTAGAAAAACAATACAGTGCGTATTTTGTGGTGCTTTATGGCAAAATTACAATTTATAAGAGGAATATACAAATAAGTTGAGGAAAAAGTGTATTCTGCATTTCAGGGGATAAATGGAAATAAATAGTCAATGATCTAATTATTTATATGTTGTTGCACAACTTGTGTTGAACTAATGAAATTCAAACAATTGAATGTGTTTAGTTTCTAAGAACTACAGTTCAGTAAATTCCTCTTCCTGTCATCCTGTTGTTCAATGTGAGCAATTGAATTTAAACTCCAACTCATGAATTGAAAGTGAGGTGTTTCTTAAATAAAATGACCCATTTCTCACTGTGAGCATTTTCTAATGGTTGTTGTACAGGTACGGCAAAGGATCCAGTGCGGTGCCATCCCACAATGCAATTCAAGGAGATGAGTCTTCGTCGTTTGACCTCTCATTCTGGACACTTAAGACTGAGAAGTCTAACCACAAGCAAATCACATTTCAGCATACAACAATGCCAGAAAAGAAGAACCTGTCATCCTGAAACTGTGTGTGTGTGTGTGTATGTGTGTGTGTGTGTGCGTGTGTGTGTGTGTGTGTGTGTGTTTATGTGTGTGTGTTTATGTGTGTGAATGCTATAATTCAGGATCCCATGGAATTCTCACAAGTGCTTGTTTGCTGCCGAACAAACGCACTGGAGATTATATGGATGGCACTGATTGTTAAAGTAAAGCATGCTGACAAACCTAAATTATAGATGTAAATATGTGTAAACATTTCATATTTTTTATTCATACTTTGCTGGGATATTGTGGATGTGCTCTTCATATATAATTTAAGAGACTGCTGATATTTTATTTATTTCTTGTTTACCTTGAAGTGTATGGAATGCAGCTGTTACAAGCCTCAAAGTTTCTAAAAGTCTCTTGGAATGAAAGACTTCAATCCTGTTTTGCTTTTTCTTTGGAACTATGAATGTGAAAGGAGATTAATTTATTATATTTGCGATACACAGCTCCCATTGTGAAGAGTGCGCTGCCCATTCATTGCTGGCAAAACTCAGTCCTCAAGCTACTTCCTAAACAAGGCACTGTAACCAAGCAACTTGCTACACTGTTATTCCTGAACAGTTGCAACTCAAAACTGATGTTAGTTTTTCTGTAATGGTGAAACAAACAGTCCACCATCTGCTAATTTATACTACACCTCTGCCTTTGTCTTTTTCTGTGTCGTTTTCCTGTCAAACAAAAGCCTTAGACTTGAACTATGACATTCTCCTCTCAAAGCAAGTAATTGGGTATGTGCCAGGTGGGTTTGAGTGGGTCTCATGCTTTATCAGTCGCTCTCTGGCTGATGATTAAATTTAAATCACTGCATAATTGCCTCTAATGTTATTTGCCGTCGGTAAGTAAGATGGAGGTTTTAATATCTGATGTGTCCCCTCTTGATATTTCAACAATGGCTGCTTCCATTTTCATCACTGTGTGGTATGTGTAGAATTGCTGTGCTCATAATAGGACAGTGTTCCATAGGCGCACAGACTTTGTATTCCATCAGCACAATGGATTCACTGGCACGCTTTCAAAAGAATTTGCTGTGGTCACTGAATCCCTGAAGTAATCAAGTTTGTCACCCAAAAAGGAGCATAAATCAAACAGAATATAAAACACATGAAATAGAGGTCTCAGTCTCCATGTGTGCCATTTTCAGAGAATCACAAGAGCATTGTTATTAAGATTTTTTTTAAGATATATTTTTATTCAGCTAGGATGCATTAAATTGATAAAAAGTAACTGTAATGACATTTATGTTTTTTTTTTCAAATACATTCTGTTCTATAATAAACTTTCTATTTCTTCTATCCTGAACGAAAATGCACCACAGTTTCCACAAAAATATTAATCAGCACAACTGTGTTCAACATTGATAATAAGAAATGTTTTTTTTTTTTTTTGCGCACCAAATCAGAATGATTTCTGCAGAATCGTGTGACATTGAAAATTCAGCTTTGCCATCCCAAATATATTAAAATGGACAATTATTTTAAATTAGCAGTAGCAATATTTGACTATATTACTTTTTTTTACTACTGTATTTTTCATCAAATAAATGCCGCCTTGGTGAGCAAGAAATGTTTGTATATATAATGTATTTAAAATGCATTTAATGTAAACTTTATTAATAAAAAATTATCTTAAAATGTTTATATATGAAATTTTGTATATGAAATGTAAACCATTATTATTAAAACTAATCTATTTAAATGTTAAAATGTAATATTATTACTGATTAATGTTGCTTTTAAGATATCGTAAGAGAAAAAAATAGGGAAAAATCAAATCTGCATATTTATGTAAAAAATATAATCAGTCATCTCTCACAAAGTGTAAATGGATCTTACATATAAAAAAATATAGCAGCCTTTTTGGAAAAAATTTGAGGTCCTTGTCTCAAGGCTCCAGTAGAGGCAATATAACATATTGTTATTGGCATGTAAATTGCTATTATGGTCACATGATAGAAGGTCTGCTAAAGCTATCTTGTTTCAGAGCAAAAAGGGGCTGGGGGATATGCATGAGAAATGCCTGATTCCTGGCAACCTGAGAAGCCGCTTCAGAGGATTCGGACAGGATGTACATTCCAATGGTGCATTCAAGTCATGTCGGAAAGATTGTATTTACAAGTCGAATGCACATGAACGTCACCACAAAGTCCTAATTGCGATTGGGAAACTGGATTTACTTTTAGCCTTGAGTTTCCAAATTGGGGTTTTGTCAGTGAGAAAACATGCAAAGGATGCAGTGTCTGTTTTGATAGTAAATTTGTTCAAGTAAATGATTTTTTTATTTACAGTCAAATTAAGTTTTTTTTACATATTAAGTATTGTACATATATGAAAGAATATCCACCTTATTTTTAACATAAGATCAGATGCAGCCATTTATAAATTTAATGTGCAAAGCTACTAGTGTCACGGTAGGTCAAAGGAAGATGAAGGTAATCCACATAAATGCTTTTAATTATAAACCACACAATACGCGAAAGAAGGGGGAGGACGGAGGGGGACTTAGGAGGAGGACAAAGGAGTGGATGTGGGATGGTGACGGGATGGTAAAGGGCTGGCAGGAATACAGGCAGACAAATACTGGAGGAGGTTCGGGCGGCGGACGGACACCCGGGAGGAGGACGACAAACAGAGTCCAGGGTGGAGATGACGGAGGGAGGAGCCAGGGAGGAACCAGGAGGAGCCAGGGCGAATCAGACGGAGGGAAGAGCCATTTTGGAGGCAGAAGGGACCAGGGCAGATCAGATGGAGGGAGGAGCCAGGGAGAAGACAGGAGGGAGCAGGAGGAGCCAGGTGGGACCCAGGCCACAGCCATGATGGCGGCCCACGGTGGAGCCAACGGAGGGAGGAGCCATGGTGGAGAAAGGGCTGATGGCTCCAGGGGGCCGACCGACGGTGGTGGAGCCCGAGGCAGAGACAAAGAGCCGAAGAGCCAGGGCGACGGGGAGGATCCGGATGACCAAGACGGAGCAGATGGCTCCGGCGACTGAGGCGGAGGCGGGAATCCGGAGGGACGAGGTGTAGCCGGAGGAGTGGAGTCCCGAGGCGGCGGATGGTCGACGACAGGCCAAGGCGGAGGCAGCGGGACAAGGGAGCCCGGCGGAGCTGGTGGACTGATGGGCCACGGCGGAGAGGAGGGAACTAGGAGCCATGGTGAAGCCGCTGGGTCGAAGGGTCGAGGCGGAGTCCGGGACTCAGAGGCTGGAGGCGGAGACAAGGGATCCTCAGCCATGACGCCGATGGAGACTGGCAGACCCGCGGCGATCACACCGAACAGATGGTGGGCAGAGGGTGAGCAGAGGGGCTGCCAGGAAACAGCGGTGGCGATGGTGAGGACTGGTGCAGAGGTGGTGGGAGCTGGACGCTGGGTGGGAGTTCAGGGTGTTCTGGGGGCTTAGGAACAGTGTGTGCTGCCCACACACACCACAAGACCACTCCCAACACCAGGAGCGCCAGTGACAGGGGAACGACCTCCATGGTCGTTGTCCCACAGGCAGACAGTTCAGGGCAGACAGATTATTTAGGGCAGGCAGATAGTTCAGACCAAGGCGGGAAAAGAGTGGGCATGTCTGTATATACATCCGAAACAAAGTCAATTAAGTCCACAGAGTCCAGCAGCAGCTCACCCTCAGCGGTGATGCAGTAGGCGGGGCTTTCCTCCAAGCCCTCGTGCTCCCTAGCATCATCCATCAGCGCGTGCACAGTTGCCGGCTCTCGCACCTAGTCTGACATCTCAAGCAGCTCCGGCTCCGCGGCGATCCTAAGCTCTGTCGCTCCTTACGGCGATGGCTTGTCGGTTGCGGCGGGCTCGGGCTCGGGCTCGGGCTCTCCGTAATGGGTGGGCTCAGGCTTTGGCTCAGCGCAGCGGGGTGATGGTGGGCTGGGCTCTGGGCTAGTGGCCATGATAGGTGATGACTCTGGGCTGGCGGCACTCACATGTGATGACCCCGGGCTGGACTCCGCTTCGTCCACTGTGAATTCTGATCCAACGATCCACAGGGCGAAGTTGACGTAGTTTCTCAGTGACCAGCACGGATCAGTTTGGGGCATTACGAAGCGGAGATCGTCATCCAGCCCGTACCAGAATCCAGAATACCAGAATAAATGGCATTTGTCCAAAAAGTCCCGCACATATTCCTCCAGGTCTCGGCCGTTCTGAAAGATATAGATCGTGACCCCAGAAGGGCTATAGACATCACCCTTTGGGATCACATTGATCGAGGCCACTTTACACCTTCTGTTTCTAATTTTTTAGGGTCGATTATTCTGTCACGGTAGGTCCAAGGAAGGCAAGGAAGATGAAGGGAATCCACATAAATGCTTTTAATTATAATCCAGACGATATACGATATACCATTTTTCGCCTCGCGATAAAAAATAAAAAAGGTAATTGTGACTTTTGTCTTACAATTCTGACTTTTTTTCTCGCAATTTTTGAGAAAAATTACAAGATGTTAACTCACAATTGTGAGAAAAAAGTCAGAATAGTGAGATATAAATTTGCAATTACAAGAAAAAAGTCTGAATTGTGAGCTAAAATCTGCAATTACCGTTTTTTATTTTTTTATTCCATGCCTGAAACTATGGAAGCTTGTTTCTGCTGCAGGATACAAAATGGAAAATTCTTCCATTGGAGATGGGCTTCCATAGCTTCCAGTTATTTTACCTGTACAAAAACAGTCTATTATCCTGCTCCATATTGCAAACTGGTATTTGTAATCACGTTATTAAATTTTTTTTTAGCATAATGATGAACACACTTGTTTGTATTGCAAAATGGTTTTACCGTGTATTAAACTTTTTTATTCTTCTGGTTATTTACCTATAGTGGCTAATGCATTGGAAGTCTTGCACGTTCAAAGAAAGTAGATTACTCCTCTTGCAAAATAAGGTGGATATA